CCCCCCCCCCCCCCCCCCCCCCTCTGGGGGGGGGGGGGGGGGGGGGTTGATCTGCCCTACCCCCCAGCGCCTTCCCTCCCCCCTTCCCTTCCACTGCATCAGACTTACAAGCTGGAGGCAGCTTTATTAGAAATCAGATCAGCATGGCCTATATGCCTCCTTAAATATGCCCTGAACCTGTATCTAGTAACACCAGACATGCAAACTGTACCAATCCAAAAGACTCTAAAGGGAAAGAAATACTGCACACACTTATATTTTTTAAACTGAAGCCAAAGGGTTCATAGGGTTCTCTAACCATGAAAAGCCCTCATATTAAAATCAAGGAAATGACTTTTTTTTCCTGTTGTATAGTCAAAGTATGTAGAATAACTATGGCAAGGCATGCAAAAAATTCTAGCATTAGCGTGACCAACAGCACATCTTTTTCCTTCTGCTTTAGTCTTACCTGTTGCAGACAAAGAACCAGTGTCTTCGCACACTGAATCTTGTCATTGTGCCTTGTCCTACTCAGTGTCTCTTTAATTATGTCTCCAAAATCATTATAAGTCTATTCATGCCAACAAAACAAAACAGAAGTGTCATTAACTTATGAGTGCATTAGCTCCCAATGCTTAACATAGATAACTACTAAAAACACTCCATACAATTCATAAAATATTCCTGTTTCTAGATACGTTGCTATAGGGAAACACTAATGGTGCCTGTAGACGTGTGGAGATGTTGCTTCAATGCACTGCTCCAATGTGCACTGGGCCAGGATAGCTGTGCCAGCTGCAGGGCCAGCGCATCTCACCACATGGGGGTTTAGCCAGGCAGCAGTGGGCCCCTTGCTGCCTGGGCTAACCAGGAACAAATTGCTCCTGGTCAGTGTCTAAGCATGCACTACTGTGCAGCAGCTAAAGCACCATTAATCTAGTACCTGTATTTCCTGGTACTAGCTAATGGCAGATTAGCCTAATTTACTGTGCGGCAAGTCCTGCGCACATGTAGATGGTGACACTTTATGGCACATTAGATTAGTCTAAAGCGCAGTAGAGCATCTTGTGTAGATGTGCTCAAGGAGAATTTTGCAGTGCTATTTGTGTTGCAACCACTTTTATGAATAAAAAGGAAGGATTCCAGCCGCTGGCTAACTCAGTATCTTTCACAAGCATTAGTTTCGCTTAAGAAGTTTAAATGCATTTTAAAAGCAAAGGGATCTTAATAGAAAGTCACCTTCATATAATGCTTATAGATCTCAGCTGCTGCAACCATCTCCACCACGTTATATACAATTAGCTTGCAATAAACTGCAAGAAGGCTCCTTCTCCTATGCAAGTCGTTCAGTTTGTAGCCTTCCTTCGTCCTCTCTTCCTCTTCTGTCAAGTCTAGGGAAATAAGAATGCTGAAGCTTTGTTCTAACATTTTACTCAAGGTACTTCACTTTTAAGGCTGACTTTCATCTGCATAACACAGACTCAGCTGTTCAGCCAACTCTCTGAACAACAGATGCTACTTCACTTGTGCTAGTCTATTTTTTTTTTTTGCTTATCAGAGGATACTGATGGTTTATTTCCATTTCAAAGCCCACAAATGATGACAGTATGAGCTACTCATTTACATATTCTTTCCATTCAGATCTTCAGAGGGATTTCACACTTCTACGAGCCAGAATCCTCTCGCAGGATTGCATGTGTAGCTACAGAAACATGACCAAACAATGCAAAACAAATGCCTTAAAAACACATAGAACAGAAAGAACAGACCAACTGCAACCATATCTTTATATGAAGAAATAAAAGACAGCAGTCCAGCATCCCATCAGTGACCCTACACAAATTAGCATGCATATCAAATAAGAAAAATTAATACATAAGTTTTAAGTAGTTATTAGGAAGAATGAAGGGGGGAAGGGAAATTTTTTTAATCATTATGAATATACAATCCCTCTGGAAGCCAGTAGTTCCTAAGCAGGTGACATTTGGAAACAATGAATTAGGGTTTTCAAGGCTGGTTGCTGGAGGTGGTTCTTTGGGGCAGGAAAGGATGGGAAGGTTAGACTCCTGAATTCTTCCCCTGCTGCTGCTGCCAAAAGCAACTTTATTAGTCTCTTAAGCCTATGACCATTGTGTGACCTGTTTTTGGCTTTCTACAGAATCTATGACCTGGAACCCACCAGAGGTAGAAGGCTGGCCAAAAGTAAATGATGGCTCAGAAATGGCTCATTGAAAAAAGTACCCCCTGCTCAAGACAGGATCATCCTTGTCTAAACCACCCCAGCCAAGGGCTTGTTTAACCTACACTTAAAAGCTTTTGATGATGAAGAGTCTGCAACTTCGCTATATACCGTATATAATCTGTTCCAGGCATTTTCCTTTTACAATTTTCTTTGTAGCAGTTTAATCCCATTCCTTCTTGTCCTGCCCCTGTGCACAAAGCCTGGTTCATCACCATCTGCAGTCACAACCCTTTTGTATTTGAAAACTTCTCAAACTTCCCCTCTCAATCTTTTCTCCAGACTGAAGAGCACCGGTTCTCTCAAAATTTCCTTTATGTCATGTTATCTGGAGCTCAAATGAACACACGACCACTTTTGGATGAAGGAATTTCTCAAGACTGTTGAAGGAGGGGCAGGGAGCAGGATAGCTGGGTACCTTTGTGTGGAGGACTAAAGAACTGAAAAAATACAATTCCTTACATCCAGTTTCTCAGAGCACATTGCTTTCTGATGTCCTTAATGTCTTAAAAGGTTACAGCCCCTTCAGAATCAGGTCACAAAACAAAATGGCATTTTCAGCCTCATTTGTACATTCTTATTTTGAATATGCCTGAAAACAGTAAAGAAGTACCAGGTAGCATAAATCTTTCTGCAAAATCAATCCCAGTCAAACACCACGTGCTGACCTTATAGAACAAGTCTGGAGCAAAAAAACATCAACTGAGTCTCACTGCCAAAGCACAAAAGCCTCCAGGAGAGTGATTAATAGTATCATTCTAGCTTTTTACAATCTATTACAGGATTTTACATGACTGCCCCTCACTGTACCAACTCAGTCATTTAAAAACAATTAAAAATATTCCCTCTAGTTAGGTCCCAGGGGACATAAATCTGAGTACAGTACAATGATCCCTTCCATTTACATTACAACTAAAGCTGCTGCATATGAAAGGGGCCAAAAAAAGTTAGAGCAGTCCCTCTGCCTGACAATGTCAAATGCAGAGGATGAATGGCATCAACAAATGGTGGTTTACTTCCTTGCCAAGGTGGCTGACCTTTGAATTCTTCCTCCTCCTCCGTGAACACATGATCCTGGATAAACAAGAGCATTTTTGACTGAAGGGACATGCTGGGAAGATACTCCAGGAGACCTACAGCTTCATCAGAGCTTGAATTTTGGTGACTCAAGATCAGCAGCAAATCACAGAGTATCATGAAGGCCTATAATATACACATATATCAAACAAACAAAAAAAACAAACAAGGATTTAGGGCTTTGTAAAGAAGTTGCCAGAACCATACTATTTTAATTTCATCACTATCATCAACCATAATGAATAGGGGGTAGCTTCTGTCCTGCTTCTTATCACCTCTTTTCCTTTCCAGGTCCCAGGTTTCTCACGGCCCACTTCTAAGACAGATGAGCTTCATGGGAGTAAATGTTTATATACACCATTCACCAGCAGCTGATTTAGAAACCTAGAACTGAAAGGGGCCTCCCCAAGCCACTGAGTCTAGTACCTGCATTCACAGGCAACCATTTGTACAGAGAGTCCTACAAGTCATCCACTCAAACCCACAGGCACAACACATTGTAAGAATGAGAAGCTGAACTCTCTCATGTGCAATTTCTTCTTGTTATACGCAAGTCAAGCTATTAGGCACCATGGGCATCTATGCACATGCAGTGAGGCTGCTCCGACACACTGTAATTACAGCGTGTCGGAGCAGACTCCAGCATCTTGCATATTAGTGTCTCCACGCTGCAAAACGGCAGTCTGGGCACTTTAACTAAAGCCTATTTGATGCCGATATGTGAGATGCTGACACACAAGACGTGCTGAGAGCCACTCTAATTAAAGCCCCTCCCCCCGGAGCACGTGTATAAATACCCTCTACTTTGGTTTTTCCATTTCTGCAGGTGCATTCTCAACAACCAAGCCCCATCTTACCCAGTGTTTTTAAAGAAAAAATGGCAGCAATAAATACATTGCCACCAGCAAGAAAGTCCAGATTGGGGGTCAACCACTTTTTTGGGCAAAGTGCCAAAAACAACGGCAACCTCAGCTTGTAAGGTGTAAGAGTGCCAGGGGGAGACGGCTGGGGAGCTGTGAGAGCCCAATTGTTGTTGTGGTAGTGCAGCCCTGGCCCCTTCCCCACTGTCTGTCCCACAGTGCATATGCCAAGCAAAATGCCTTTGTGTGCCACACTCTGACACCCATGCCAGAGGTCGCCTACCCCAGTCCAGATTATTAAACTGCAAGAAAATCCACTTCAGCAACAGGTATTAAAGAAGACCATGCAACAGCCAGGATACAAGGGCCAGACAGCACATAAACATCAAAAATATTTTTAAAAGAACAAAAATTTAATTTTCTTGAGTCAAATTGGCAATTCCCATTTCATCAGGCAATCCCAGAAGACCATGATACCACTTCTCAGGCGACGCTGGCATTTTTAATGGTTCAGTCACAAACAGTAAACTACCCCAAATCCCCTTCCCTGCACACAAGGTTGGCATCCATCTCCATGTGGGAAGATGAAGGCAGGCAGTTGGTGGCAGGAACTGGGATTACGATTCAGGGGTTTGTAGCACCCATCCCTGTGATCAACCTTCATCTCCACAGAGCTCACCACAGTGCCAGGATTCCCCACCAGAGCCCAGGGGAGGCCTGATGGATCAATGGGCCCAGATGAGAGAACTGCAGGCTGCAAGAGAACCGCTTGTGGGTTACACGCCACCAGTTGGACAGCCCTGTTTTATAGGATATCGGATTAAGTTGGTTGTAAAATTTAAAGCACAAGAACAACAACAAAAACAAAAAAGACATTGAGCAAATCAACACATGGCATCTATAAAATGCAGTGGTGAAATCCTGCTGTGGCAGTGGTAGCAACATGCAACAGACATGGCATCGTGGGGCTGGAAGGGACCCTCAAGGTTTATTTATGCTGTGAACAGGGATCACTATTGCCCTGGGAATAAACAAGGCAGTCTATGAACAGATCACAACAGAAATGGCAGGCCAGGGACATGACCATGACTATGCCAAGTACCGGGCCAAGTGCAAGGTACTGAGGCAACAGTTCACAAGGACTCAGGACAGCATCCATGTGTCAGGCTCACACAGCATCACATGCATCTGCTACAAGGAAATACCCCATATCTTCACAGTTAATGACACGGTCATGTCTGAAAATGTACCAAACAGAGAGGCACACACCACCAAGGAGAGCAATGACGACTCCAACATGACTGTGGTTGAAGACATGCAGCCCTCCCAAGCCAGCACAACCACCCAGGCATTGAGCCAGATTACAGACTTGCCAACCACCATGTAAACTCTGAAATGGGCCTGGGCTCAGACAACAAAGACCTAGAGTTCCCTGTCCCCCTCATCTTCAGCATCCCTGCCAGTGCATTCCCAACATGAAGCCAGTGTCCCACCAAATCCAACCCCCTACAGGACAAATCCTGCTTCCAAAGATGGTAAGTGTCACTCCACCATTACAGTTGGGTAAGTAGAGGTCGAGCAACAGAGTTGGGGGGAGGGGGCAGGAGGGGTGAAGAGCCAGAGCACTCCCAGTGAAACCTCAATGACTAGTTGGGTAGTTGAACCGCAGTCCCCTTCCCCCCAACCCATTCCCCTGCAGAACTGCAGTTTGAGTCTGTGCTGAAACTGCATGGCTGTACTTGGGGACTGCACCACTGTGCTCCCTTGGCCATGCCCTGAACCATAAGGGTAATGAACTAATAGCTACCACTATGATTAAAATGGTCAATCAATGGAACTGACATTGTTTCTGTACTGTGGGTCCCAGTTCAGTTCGGCAGTGATTGATGCCATTTAGAGTAAGTGCCCACTTAATGCTTCATCTATCCCCCTACCAAAAACACAACAGCAGTGGTACACAGCTACAGGGACCCTCCCTGCTGCCCCTAGCCTCCCACCCAGAGCTCAAGGTAAGATATTAAGGTTGCAGCCTTCACTCCCATGCAAACAACTCATTAAAACAGCCACTTGGTCAGTTAATGCAGACCACCATGGCAGTTCAGGTTCTCCTGTAAGTGGCCACAGCATTGGTAGCACTATTTCAGTCAAAGGGGCCCTGGATTCATGTAGGTAGTTGAAGTGAAGGAGAAGTAGCAGACCCTCAATGCTGAAAACATTTTCAGCATCCACCCCACCCCGATTCTCCAGCACGTCACACACAGCACATACGGTTGTAGGCTCTTCACAACAATGATTGGCCAATCCCCTCAAGGCAGGAGGGGGTACAGGGAGGGGGTTGCATGCTCCGTTTGCGTTCTCACGCTGTGCATGTTGAGCAGTGCAGCAGCTGCTTCTCTTCAGTCTTTGCAAGTTATTGGCTAACAGTTAAACTAGACACAGATTGATCCCACCCCAGAGTGTCCCAGCTGGGGCATGCAAGGTGGTCATAGCGTGTAGTGAGGTATGCCACCAGGCATTCCCTGACTATCCAGGGAAGAAACAAACATGCCTGCCCTCTTCATGAGTCAAAGTCATCAGGGACCACCACTTCTTGCAGTAAGAGGCAAGCAAAGTCCAGTGGACTGCCTTGTGCAGCAATGAACAGGTGCCACTACTGCTGTGGGGTCAGATGGTTCAGGATGACATCAGCCAGGGTGTCAGCATCCTGCGGCTATAGACAAGGGGCATTAGGGGGTCCCAAAAAAATAGACCACACTCAATGCCAGCCTAAAGGAGCAGAATGCACTCCACCAAGCATGGCCCCACCCATCTCAACTGGCAAGCCAGGTATTTCACAGCCCCCATGGGATTTAGGGACCTTGGCCCCTTGCTATGCCGAAAGACTGTTTGTCTATGGCTTGTTAAGCATGCCCCACTGCTTCCTTGGGTCCCAAAGGACCAAAAGGTGGAGGAGGAACTTACTATGTTGAGAATCGGCAGGTCAAATGAGCCCATCAGCTGGCTGAATGGCTTTGAAAGTGGCAACTTTTGTTGGGGAGTTTCTACGCTATCAGGTGAGAATTGACAAAAACAATGAGCTCCTGTTCATCCTCCTCTACTTTCAGGCCCGACAACTTCACGTGGTGGCAATGGCACCTCAGGGGCAAGACAAAAGGCCAAGAACATGGTTAGAGACCAGTGTCCAGAAAGCTTCCAGGCAAAGGAAGCCCCACGCCTGCCCAAAGATGGGCATGCTAGCATCTCTGATAGAGGCCAGCCACTACTGCTTTGGGGAGGCCAGGCAACGCAGGGAGGAAGAGTGAATATACTGCCACCAAATGCTTGTCCATGGTCAGGCACAGGATTAAGGAGTCACACCACTATGTGACATGCAACCCACCAGGCAGCATGCAGAGGCCAAGCTGCTGTTGCTGAGCATATAAATGAGACATTCAAGGAGTCCATGAAAGTTGAGCAGGAATCCACAGATCACCTCGCATCTTTCCTGAACCTGCAGAAGGTATCCTTGCTGTTCTCTGCAGCACCCCACAGTTTAACACATAAGGGGGACTGTCCAGCAGCTCCTGGGGACAATGCTGCCCCTGGGCTTCCCTGTCCTACAGGGCTCCCCCACAGCAAGAGCAAGCAACCTGTAGCTGTCAGGCAAGTAGGTCGTACCCCCTGAATAGTGGTGTGTTCAGCAGTGGCTGCTGCCAGGCTGTGGCTGCACCAGATCTGTGATAATTCACATTAATGGGGAAGTGACAGGTTTCACCAATGTGGGTTTATAGGGTTATTGGTATTTTTTTTTATAATCCATTTATTTACTTGTTCCACTAACCTGCCTTCATATTTCTGTTGTGCTGTTTAATAAATGTTGTGTCTCTTGTCAAAACTGTGGAACTGTGGCCGTGCCATTCACCGCATACACGAGGCAAGACAGTTTCAGGGGCGTGGAAAGCTCCCCAAAAAGCTGCTTGATACAATGTCTGCCTGTCCCAGCACCAGCTGTGTCTCCTTCCCTCCCTCCCTCCCACCCAGAAGCTGGCTCTGACAGCCCAGAACTCATCAAAAAAAAAAGAAGAAGGGCAGAAGCTGTGCACAGCAACACAAGATGTTCCTCCTTCCCTGTCTATCTCCTTCCCCTCACCCTCCACCCAGATCTGGAAGGGCAGGGTCTGGAGAAGCCCACACACACAGCACAGATTTTTCAACATCTCCCTTCACTGCACCCCTTCCACATCCCCAGAATTACAGCTCAGCACCCAACTGAGTCAGCCCCCTCCTACACAATCTCCACCCCTCAACACACCCCTGCACATACTGGAGACAATCACACAATAGCACTAGTTCAGCCAATAGGGTTTAATTGTGTACCAGAGATCATCCTACTGTTTTGATCCTCAGCCCAGAGCCTGGCACACTAAGTCAGTCAGTGTCTCATGCACACAGCACCAGGCAACAAGACTCCATTTGAGAATTCATAGGCACAGCATCTGAAGGAGCCAGGGGATGGTCCACCCTCACTACCAGGGGCTGCTCTCTCAGCCTCACAGATATGCAGCAGACCATAAACCAGGACATGTTGCACTCACTGGCATCCACGCGTGACCTCAGGAACCTCAGGTGAGCCTCTAGACCCCAAAAGCATGTTGCAGCCTTTCTACAGGTACTGCAGAAAGTGATTAAACAATTAAACAATTGGCTTTGCAAGTCACAACTTTTGTTGCGGAGTTTCTACGTTGCGACTTGCAAAGCCAGTAATTAAACAATTCCTTCAAGGTATCCAGCGAATGGCTTCATTAGCCAGGGGTGCAGTGAGTAGGTAGAGTCCCCAGTTACTAGTGGGTCCACTGCCTGAAGCACTATCAAGATATAGCCCTTCCAGCTGATGAATTTATGGGCATGACATACAGGGGAAAGGATGGCAATATGTGTGCCACTGACAGCCCCAACACATCTGGGAAACCCTAGGCTGGCAAGACCCATCCACAACCTGCTGGGGGTCAGCACAGCATATGATGCACAGGGCCATCCCCCACTGGATCACCAGACACATCTTCAGCACTGCTGTCTGGGGTCATAAACTTCCATACAGCAATGCAACACACTTCTCCACAGATAAGGGCACATGCATTACTGTTGCCCATAGCCACTACGCGTGAGGCAAGCTTGGCACAGGTCTTCACAACGGTGCCCCTGGACACGTGGAAATTTGCATGGCACTGCTCGTCATCCCAGGTAGCCATGATGATCCATTCTTACCAGTTGCTGCTCGTCTCCCTGGCCCAGAAACACTGCCTCACCATAATGTCCTGACCTGAGGCCAAAATATCTTCAGGGCAGCAACTGCTGCCATAGCTTAGGACTACCAGATAGCCACAAATTGTCCACTGCTGGCACTGAATGCACACATGAGCTTCTTTCCAATAAGTGCTTCTCCCATGCTCTTGGACGCCATCAGAGATGACCAATGCTCTCTTTTCTACTCAGCCTCACTCCTTCCTTTTTCATGTCTTTATGATAAGGTACTTGGCAGAATTCGCAGATTCATTAGAATCTGACAGGTCATGCCATAAGCACTTCCACTATGGCCTCAAACTTGCAACTATGCACCTTAGCACCCATGCCACTTCAGCCCCCCCATAGTCCTGCTTATGAATCAAGACACTGAGACAAGAAGGTCCACAAGGCAACAGCCAAGTAAGACTCCATAGCAGCCAAAGGTGGTAGAAGCTCCAGGTCAGTCATTGGTGGCAGCACAAATGCAGTGGAAATACAGGCAGGCAGTCAGGGGCACAAGTTGTGCCACAAATCAAAGCACAACATTTTGCTACCAACAATTTGAATATCCTACCAGCACTTTCCTTGACACTGGCAGAGTTGGGGGAACCTACAGGCACTTGACCAGTACAAAGTTAGTTGGTATGTGTGCTCACTTGGGCCACTTGCTGGTAAAAGAGTGGCAATGCATCCAGCCACTCTAAAACCAACTGGAAGGGCAATGTGTGGGCATGCCAATCCAACAACTTCTCCATTCTCTGGTCCCAGAATAAAAATGCAATATCTGTTTATAAAGTTATTTCAACTCCTACGCACTCTCCCTAAATCATCTGAGACCAATGCTTATCCACTCTCTTCTTGAAAACCTCCAGTGAAGAAGATTTTACAATTTTCCTAAGCTCCAATACCTTACTGAGCAACAGAATACTCCATTTGTGTTTGCAGTTTACTTTTAATTAGCCCTGGTCACTGATCTAAAATGTGCACAGAAGTAGTTGCACTTATGTTCTTGTGCAGGGCATGGTGGGTTTTTTTAGTGTTCTCATCCATATAAAAGATCCTTTACAATAGTTTAAAAAACAACACAAAGGATTACTCAGCAAAGAGGCAAAAAAGGAAACACATGAGCACCAATAGCACCAATACATCTGAGAAAAAATAAAGAAGAAATAAGATTTACTGGGGGAGTAAAAAACACAAGTTTAAAAACACAAGCCCACAAAAAAAATGGAAGTAGCACTGACCTTTTCACTTAAATCTTTGTTTTTATGGCTGAGGTAGCATGTGCAGATCTGACAGAAAAGCCTTAACTCCCTTCTCAATGCCAAGAGAGTCTCCTAAAGCATGTGCAGAAGGAGAGGACACAACTTAAAGCTTTGACAGGTAAATTCTCAAGTGAATAAGCTTAAAACATTGTATTTTTTTCTCTAACAATGTAATTCATTCAAACAAGAAACATGCTGATGGTAAGGACCTGAACTGGCTCAATCTTTTACTTGCATCGGTTGTCCGATTATAAAAAATTACTATGCTGTCTTTCTAACAGAGATCACATCTGTGACAGGACTTACAACCCACTAGCAAAAAAACAAACAATTTTTCCTAATCAGTGCTAGAAGTGACAGATGCTGGGACATACAAACTCTTTAAACTGGTAGTCAGATTCATACTGTTGTACTAGGCAAGTCATTCCAACTCTCTGATCTAGGGGTTTTTTCACCCGTGGGTGTCTACCAGTATCTAATCATCAGCCCTTCATCACAATGCCAGCAAGGCACCTTTCAAAGTTAATGAAATAAGCCTTGCACATCCCTGTGAGATGGAGAACACCACCCATTCTACAGAAGGGAACTTTGGCACAGAGAGGCCACATTATTTGCCTGTGGTCACATAAAAAGTTTGTGTTCTATTTGTTATGTTGTGGCAAGAACTTAAGCTTGGTGTAAATGAGTGCAGTTCCCTTTGAAATCAATGAGAGTGCATGTTTTTACATCTGAGCTAAATTTCTTGAGATTTAAAATAAGGAAGGAGGATCCACTTTAGTGTAAGCCAGGAAAGAAGAGAGAAGAGAAGAAGAATGCTATGAACTGATGGAGGAGATGGTGCCAGAGTTGCTTTACAGGAGCAAAATGTTTTGAACACTGGCTGCACCTCTGCTGACACTAGGATTTGGCTGTGTGGGGAGGGATACGGACCTTATTCTGCAAGTCTAACCAAATCTGGAGAAAGAAAAGAATTCAAAAAGCTGCTATATGAGTCAGGAAAGCTGAGTTTTATCAGAGTTGAAATGTTTTAAAGAAATGATGAGCATGGAAAGCTAGCCAGGGGCAGGAGCAGAATGTCAGCCAGGCACAGGAGTTCACCCCTCCTAGGCTAGTCTCATCAGATCTGTCCTATCTAATGCACTTCAATCAAACAGAAAAAAATAAAGATATGGACTTCCCTGTTCATTTTTTATTCTGTAGAGGATGGTGGACTGAAGAAAGTAGTTCTCAGTGCAGCCAGAAACCTCTATCAAGGGTAACAACTCAAAGTTGTTGTTTCTGCTTTTACAAGAATCAAAGTATATAAGTTCTCATCTTTCTAAGAGGAAACTGAAATGTCCCTAACATTACAAAATATCAAATTGTTTCCCTGAAAATTACCTTTGCTTAGGAAAAAAGAACATCTAGCAAGCAGCTTTTGTCTCTATCCAAAGTCAGGATTTAGCAACCCAAATGCATGCACTAAAAACCCAAATGAGCTGGTTAAATTATGCCCGTGCAAAAGGTTAATATTGGAAGAAGTACAGAATTTTGTAAAGATTGAGAGAGACAAATGTCTGAACTGATTTTGCTTTCTCCAAGGAAATATGCATATCACCTGCTTGAGAAAGCTTGTCCCTGCCAGCCATCAAAAGGTAGGAAAATCTATTTAAACCTTTAAAGCATAACCCTTGGTTTCACAATCTTTTTCAGGGCCAACCTTGGAAGAAGGCCTCTCCCCAACTGCAACCAGCTGCCACAGGAGAGCAAAGTATGTGCACTGTAAAGCTGGTAGAATCATCTGCAAGTAAAAAAAGACACAGATCTCTCTTTCAATAACATGAAATGCCACAAAGCAAATGTTCAGAACTAAATGAAAAAAGAAAACAGGATCTTACCCTCTGCATGCTGCTTCTACTGCAGCGCGAGGCACTTCATTTCCCAAAACACACTCAGTCAGTTTACGTTTAACTATGACCTCCCTAGAAATTATGATTCTGTAAAACACTTACGTTTCCTCAACTTCAAATGGAACTTACTTACGTGCCTCCATGCTTTGCTGAATTAGAGCTCAGATTTAGAATCATAGGAAAGTAGGACTAGAAGGGACTTCACAAGGTCACCTAGTCCAGCCCTATGTTCAGAGCAGGATCGTACTCGACTAAAACACCCCAGCCAAGTGTCTGCTTAACCTGCCCTTGACCATTCAAAGGATGGAGATTCCACAACTTCTCTAGGTAGCCTGTTCCAGTGCTTGACTACCCTCATAGTCAGAAAGCTATTAATGCCTAGCAGAGCTCATTACCTCGCAATCCTGGACAGCATCTCTATCTCAGAACAGAATGTTCAGGCTGACAACACACGGACTACAGTTTA